ATTATTTTCATGGAATTCTGAAGAATATTTCTTCCACAAAACACCAATTAAAAATTATATTATGTAAATCTAGGGGAAAACAAGACTCAACTTAGGGACATTTCAACTTGGGGACACTCTTGATGCACCAATTACATCCGCATCTTGGTGTCTCACTTTTGCTGTTATACTTTTCTTAAATCTTATACTTTTTCAATCGTGAATTGAAATACAGTATTGAGACATTAATGAATTTTGTCCAGCATATATAGTTTCTGCGATCATTCAAAAGTCATATTATTGCGCACATTATACACAACTATATATACAAGTATACTGCATATTTCATGAAGGTACTATTCGATGAAAGACGCTTCCAAGCTGAAGGTTCTTGTCAAAGCTAACGACTTGACGAGGGAACTGGACCCACTCAACCAAGAAATGGACGTGGAAGACATCGTCATTCATCCTCAGTTTCGAAGTGAGTCATTATTCAGTGAAGAAATCCGCGAATTACCCAAGAAGAGAACAAATTTTCTCGTCACGATGATGTGACCGATAGGAGAAGGAATAAATCATAAAATTCTTCGGATATCAAACTTAAATACAAATTTGGAACTTTAAACAGGGGTACTACTATACTAGAAAGTTTGTTCTCCTGATAATCGCGATCCTTTTTCCACAAGTAATTTTTTTATTCCTAATTATATAAAAGAACTTGTATTGCACATGACATGTATCATCATGTCGAAGATAATTTTATAAGCAATCCAGGAAAAATATGTGGAATATATCATAACTTCTGCTCGTCATTTATTCATTCATGCGCACTAATTGCTATGAAAAGAGGCTCAGAATAGTAAAGTGAACCTCCAAGGCTCCAACAGAAGTTTTTCAGTCTAAAGCGGCTTAAATTTCCTTTCTTTTTATCAAAGTTCGCACGACTTATTATTTCTTTGAGGCTTGAAAATTACTATCGAAGTGGTTTCCTTTGATTAAGATAATAATTTTGAAATACTGTACAAACAAATTTCAAATTTTATAGGGAGAATTTGCGTAGGGAAACAAGCATTTTCGTCTATAAAAAAAAGAAAAATCAGAGGAAATTATGATTGGTGCTATTGTGCCGTTTGAATTGTTTCCTAAATTCGTTGACAGCGTAGGATTTTGAAGTTGAAGGCATGGGATTATTTGCTTAATTAGTCCTCGATACTTCCTTTCAAAACTCATCCAGGTAAATTTTCATTGCTTTTCTCTTCACTGTGTAAAAGAAAATACCAAGAGACCTCCATAGAATTTGAAATAAAGAATTTTAATGAAAAAAAAGCCCTCGAGCTTGTCAGGCGGATTTTAATGCATCGATTCCAATTATGTATGGAATTCAGAGAGGGACTCGCAAAAATTCGACATAAAGCTGTTTGACTCATGGAGGTTCTCCAGGTCGTGAATCTTGACAATGTCATCATATTTTAATAATTTATTCAATTTAGATGCGCAGAGGCAAATGGATTATGACGTAGCCGTAATAGTGCTGAAAGACGCCATTGTGTGGGACGACTTCGTCCAGCCAATTTGTTTGCACGACGGGGCGTATCCCAGGAAATTTACAAGAGCAGCCGTCACGGGCTGGGGTGTGACCAGATCAGGTATGCAAATTAAATGAAACTTGTTGATTTCAGTTGTCTGGGTATTTATTTCCAAAATGGAATTTTTTCCCCACATTTTTGCCGAATTTTACAGGTGGATCACCGAGCTCAATCATGAGAAGTATTGACGTTCCGGTGATACCTACCTGGTTGTGCAGATTTCTCCTTTTTTTCTACCTGGTGAATGAGAGACACATTTGTGCAGGTGGCGAAACTGGCAGGGATTCATGTCAGGTCAGGAGTCCGCATTTTTTAATCTCTTTTTTTTACGGTTTAAATGGACCAAGATTGATGAATGAATATAGCGTCCAATTTCACGCGCATCTAGTGTTGATATAATATTTATCTAGTGTTGATTCTATATGCGAAAAATATATAAAAACTCCCAATATTAATACATTTTTTTCTTGGATGACTTGTTTTTAATCTATACGCTGCCCGCATTTTAATTGCTGCCATATATTGTCCAGAAAAAAATTGTGGCATCCATGTTTAATAATTTAATTTTTATATGACAAAGATTGAAAAGCGTCAAAAAATTACCGGAGAAAATGAATTCATGCGAGAATCTTCAGTTCGGTCTTCGGTGTCATGAAATTCTGCTTTTGTTCAGGATTTTCACTCAAGGAATGGTTCCCGCTTATTTTTAAAAATGTATTCGTCGAGCGCGCGACAGCAAAACTTGATTTTTCCCCACTTTTTGAAATTTCATCAGGATTCTGCGTATCGAAATGATTTTCCGCGACAAACAACAGACCGATATTGCATGAAAAATGGAATGATAATTTGTTGGGCCAAAAAAGAGACAAATTACTTTTTTCCTGAATGTATTGACCATCTTCAGAATTTCGAGGTTGTAACACCTTGAGATGAAAAAAATCGAAATGAAGGCATTCCTTCAGCAATCCAGTGCCACTGTTTATATAATAACTAAGTTTAAAAAGTTCAATAATACTCTATTCTTTTGCATGAAAGTTGAGAAATTTATTTTGGCAAACGCTGACAATTTATATCCCCTCATATGTAAGACCCCAATTGTAATCACCAATTAATTCACGCGGCTTATTCTGAATTGGCTATTTAACGGAATTTTGAGGTACCGCATCTTGCAGTCTCCGCCGTCATTTATTAAAATATCACAATTCTCATTTTTCTATTTTAAAGTAACACAGTGTGTATTTTACTATTTTTCCATTTGCAATAAAACAGGGTTCAAAGGGGTATAAGCCCACGAAAAACAAATTCTTTCAAATCTCTCGCCATTTTGAACATCATAAATAGTAGTCAGCACGCAGGACTATGGAAGTTTCCATGTTTCAAATTACAGCAGTTACATGTGATATATGAACTCTCGATATCTACTCTACTTGAAATCAGCAATTTGTGAATTTATCATTTGCAGGGCGACAGTGGAGGTCCACTGACATTGATTGAAGCAGATGGCGACGTTCAAGTCGGGATCGTGTCCGAAGGATTTTTCTGCGGCTTACCTTTCGTTCCTGCCAAATACACGAGAATATCATCTTTCCTCGGATGGATTCGGGAACAAGTCGACAAAGATGTCAATGCTTTATGAAGTACTGTACTGTATATTATAGTGTTAGTGGTGAAAACGAGGATTTTTCTGTCTGTATGGAAACGCATCTTATGAATTTCTATTTAGAACAGTCATGATTTTCAATTTATTTTGCGACTATTTATTCGGTTATGATTTTTATAATTGTCGTATGATACTGTATTTGAGGAATTTTGCCGGGAAATGCAAAATTTAGATCAATATACAAGGTGCATGCTGAATACTGTATTAGGTCCAGCACATTGCAGCACAGTACAGTAGTGCGTACATTACTGTACATAGTATGTTTACAGTGCGTGAATACCCCCCATACAGTACCTGAGCACTGAAACTTGTAATCCTATCATCATCTTAGCTCAATATTCAAAGAATAGAGGCGATGGATTCCCAAAATTATACATGTTAATTGGATTTTGACCTCTATTAATGTACCTTTTTTTTAAATTAATTTTCAGAAAAACGTGAAAATAGCAATGTGCTATTTACGCATGCATCCATAAAACTTGATGTTTCAACTTATTAAGATATGAAAGTGAGAAGAAGAGGGTGTGAATCTCTTGCCATGTGACTCCATGAGAGCAACCAGCAGCAGCACATATTCTTCGTTTGCCTCGTATGTAAATGACTTATTTGGAGGAATGGCGTCACATTTTTTATTTTTCTTGCCAAAAAAATAAAGATTTAAAAAAGGGTTCCCGGCTGAGGCTCAGAAATCTGTGAGAAATCTAATAGTGACATCATCATCCAAACGATTATTTCACGTCAGCAAGGTATGAAACATGATTTCGAAAATATGGCATCGTTGGGACTGTAAGATTGTTGACTTGGCGTGATCCTCTTTTTTCATGATCATCTCTTATACTTATATATCATGCATATAAATCCAATACAATTAAAGTCAAAATTATTGAATAATTCCCAGCCTAAATTTCTTTTAAAGCGATTCATCTGCTACACGGTCTTAAATTAGACATATTGTACATATAAACATACAGTACACTGTACGTAAAATTGAAGTAAAAATTTCACAGCGTGAAACATATGCATGAATCGAGTTACGGATCATCGTAAGGACGCTCGGCCGCTTTCACGGTGTACTGCTGTATATGCAGTATACTGTATTTCGTCCAGCTTCATTTTTGCTGTTGCGTATTTTATGATCCTCCAAGTATTGTGCAGTAGTATCCTAGTTTTTAAATCAAAATTCAAAAGTGCGTATCAGCACATGAACATGATTTTTTCGGCATTCTTTTCAGCCGCGAGTGCGGACGTTGATCAATGCTAATTGCTAATCACAAACAGTTCGCGGCTTCGAACGCAGACTGCGTGAGCGAATCTAGCTGATTACGTAAATATTATTGTTTGCTAGATAGATGTCGCGCGATCTCACTCCCTAACACAAGTGTGTATCCGTCCCTTGACAATGAAACGATGTGCTACTGAAACTTGCGCTCCGAAAAATTGCTAAGCCCCCTTTCCTCGTTGTACGCCGCAATTCAGAAAAGAATACAGCAATGTTTGTGCTAATTTTCGGAAACTTTTTCTCAATGTTGGCAATTCTGGCAAATTCAGCTTTGTAAACGGAATAATACTGTATTCAGCGAGTCCCCCAATAATGAATTCTAGGACTTCACTTCCCGCAAAAATAACGAACGGAAAATTTCGTCCACGTCCTTGATCACGGAAAAACAAGACGAAAGTTTAATGCCTGTAAAACCCCGAGAGAGACAGAAATTAAGCTCGACGTTAGTCGAAACACCTTAGCGAAGTCAACGACCAACTACAGAAAAATCCACAGCTTCTGTGACTGACCGCATATATTTTCTTTGGTTTGCCTTTGACCGGCTACAAACTTTGCTCAACACATCGAATAACTCCGCGTTCCATAAAATATTCCTGCATCAAGTTCCGAATGCCCACACAGAACAACACATAGCCGAACAACTGTGACTATGAGGATTTTCTCCTCAATAACTGACTAGATCCCTTCATCAAACAACACTTTTTGAGTAGCCCTCGACACTGAGGAACCAACTTTGAGATCCTCTAAAATAGCGTTTATGACATCGAGGCTTTTGTAAATCGGCCTCGGGCGAAATTCCGATTCTTGCTCCACACTTACAGCTGGTGCTTGCGAGAAAGACTTCGCATGTTCCTGGAATGGAGAATAATAATTCAGAATGTATTGTACACTATGAACAGTACATAAAATCGAGGAAAATGGCACTGTTTATACCATATTATTGCCTGAACAACGACCGACGTTCAGAATAGATTCTATCTGCTCCAACTTTGCAACGTCTTCCGGGGTCATTTGTGGACATTCAATGAAGGCTTTCAAAGACTTGTCCAACTCTGTCAAAACCTGAACTTCTTTCTCTCTGAAAAATAAAGAAGGGAATCGAATGAAATTATTTAAATGGTAAAACGACATTAAGATTGAAATTATGAGGGACCTTCTCACTTCAACGTCCAACGTAATTTCAGTAGATTTTAAAGTCACATCTGGGTTGAAAGTTGCGATAAAAATGAGGTTAGGTTAGTGTCCACGTCCAGTATTTATTTCTACAGAAGGTGGCAATTTTTTGTAGCCGCACTTGGTCGGAAAGACAGTTTTCATCAAATATGTTTTTTCCGATGGCATTTTCTTCCGTACTTGATTCAATGGCAGAATCTTCGCCATTTGAGGTTAGTACAGTTGCACCACAATAAAATAACCCGAAGTCAAATGTCTCCAATTTCAAATTTTGTCAAGTCCCTATCTCGATTCCCTGTGAAACTGTGCTTCATAAACCCCCTCTACTCAAAGGCTTCCCATCTGAAATCACCATTACTCGAATTTTCTGGAGGCCTTTTGGCTAAAATTTTATTGCTAGAGGAAAGAGAAACGCAATAGAAATTTAACACGACGTGTTTTAAAAGGAAATGAAAGACTTATTAGGCGAATGAACCATTGCCTCCAAGCTCACCATCAAATCATTCAGAATGCAATTCAAGGCCCAAAATCTCACCTACTAAAATTTCCTCCTGCCTTATTTTTTCTTTTCCATCGACACAAATGCTTGTTTCCCTAACTCGAAACCTCCCTAAATCGAATTTTTTGCTGGTCCCTCGAAGATCTAATTGCACTGTATAGCAATTATACGAGGGTTCTAACAAAAGTTCTCGGAATAGCAATGAAAATGGCATATAATTGAGCTGAAAAAAATTTATGCTCTAGCCAAAACATATTCTTTGGCACACAAAAAAAAATCAGCCCGGTTTGACAAATTTTTAAAATATTTTTGCAAAATTCATTTATATAGAGTTTTGCTCTCCACTCAAAAAATGAGGCGCCCTTTTTTTGTTGCAGCCCAGCTTTCCCCTCAGAATTTTTGAAATCAACTGGACATTCTTCCTAAGGGTTGCCTCCAGGTCATCCAAGGCAGCCTTGGATGACCTGGAGGCAACCCTTAGGAAGAATGTCCAGTTGATTTCAAAAATTCTGAGGGGAAAGCTGGGCTGCAACAAAAAAAGGGCGCCTCATTTTTTGAGTGGAGAGCAAAACTCTATATGAATGAATTTTGCAAAAATATTTTAAAAATTTGTCAAACCGGGCTGATTTTTTTTGTGTGCCAAAGAATATGTTTTGGCTAGAGAATAAATTTTTTTCAGCCCAATTGTATGCTATTTTCATTGCTACTCCGAGAACTTTTGTTAGAACCCTCGTACAGTCGACATTTATCAGATTTTTCTTAACACAGGACTGGGCGTTGAAGTGAAAATAGCCCCGAGAAAATGAGGAATATTTTCATGGAAAAAGCATTTTTTTTACAGCTTTTGTGTGATCCAATGAGATTCCCGGCGAGGAAAGTCAACTGGTCGACTAGTGATTTCCACTTCCAAGGCAGAGTCCTGACTGGAAGCGGCTCTTGCTTGAGATCCACATTCTTGCCGGTTGGTCGAGTCAGAAACTTCTTCCACCTCATCAGAACTACAGCCCAGAAAAAAAACTTAACATTCAAAACCTATACATAAAACAAAATTACTTTGATCCAAAAATGTTTGCCTGTATTCGTCATCCGGTTCAACTCTCTTCGGTTCCAGCTTCACTTTCCTCGTGGGGGGATTATACATGTCAGACTTTCTCAACCAGGCTTGAACTTCTGAGCTTTTCCGGTTTAGTCGAGGAGTGAAAGGCTTCGCCGGTGCAGTGAATGCCATCGGATATCTCAAAATCGGGTCAGCTGGCACCGGAGGGTACCTTTAAAAAAAATTGCACAGTTTCAAAGGATGATTCAACCTTTCGAAATACTGTACAGCAATGTCGCAGTCAATCAATAAATTTACAAAACCAAAAACACTTGATTGGTCAACCATGTAACTACCCTACCCTTAACCCGAATGTGGCAGCAATAAAGGTACATACGTGAAAAAAGAAATTTCTTTAGAAAGAAACTCTAACTTATATATAGTGGGGGCCCGACATGCAGACGCCCCAAAATACGACGATTGAACTTCGGGACATTTGATAGCTCAAAAAGTCTTCCCCGAAATCCAGACAATGTCTTGGGATGTGGGCACTTTAATCAACATTTCAAGAAAGATGGAAATTTTTTATTTTTCCAAGCTTTGATATTTCTTGAAAAGAATTGCGATTCACAGAAGTCGCGAAGAAATTTTATTATAGAGAAGCTAATTTTGTGTTTCTTTCTTTGGAAGTTCTTTCCATAATCTCAGTGGAGTATAGAAAGATTCATGCTTTTTTCCTTCTGCTTTTTGGACTCCTTTTCACGTCAACAGATCTGATTATGCGCGGTTTTCTTCTGCATTGTTATTTTATGCATCTTTAAGTCGAGCAAATTATTCTATTCAATTTTTAGGTGGACTTTTTCCTGATTTTCGATTAAGAGGAGAACAAATTCAATATATTCCTATTGAAGTCCAAGGGATAACGTGATCCGATATGCGGACATTCCGACATAGGGACAAGGTCCAAGCATCAATCACGTTCGCATCTCGGAGCTCCACTATATATAATGCTAAAATTGGCAAGATTACAAATTTATTAAAGGCTTTCGGAGGATGTGCATCTACTGTACTCGAAAATTCAACACGCACATTTCCTACAACCAGGTATCAAAAATGGCGCACCTTGAGAGCTTTTCTCGAGCTTTTGGCACGACGGATACTGCATTCACCTGACGCAGGAAGTTGTCAATTCTGTCGGCGAGTCGCATGGACGGCGTTTCCACTGGCTTATGCGTCCAGTAGGCATCTGGAAATTTAAGAAGAAACAAAAAATTATTTTATCTAACACATCTGTTCCAACGATATTCGAACCAACAAACCTTGCAATCCGCTGCAAGATGAAGAAACTCCAGAATCTCGGAGACAAGATGCCGAAGAGAATCTGGACGCCGCCTTCCTGGGTTTCCTGCCAGCGCTCGTAGCTCTAATATTAGAGCTCAACATGGTGCCGGACTTCGGTTCTGCGCACACGGACTCGGAGGACCTGTGCAGGAACAGGGCTTTCTTCCTCTGGGCCCGGGCCGCATTGGAGTCGCACAAGGGTATTTCGGAACACGGGATCCGACAATTTCTCAGCAAATACGACACCGGTGGCGAATCGTCAACTGCGGAACTGGTATTGAATATGCGATGCAGATGTCGCATCCGCTTTTCACGGGCACTCATTCCTGTATCGTGAAGAACACCAGAATTGCAAGCATCCCGTCGAGCCAAACAATTAAGTGGAAAAGAAGAACCCAAAACATATTTCAGTCGTGTTGCGCACACGAACAACCAGCACTAAAACCATGCCATACTCTCTTCAACTTCAGCAAGACAAAATGAGAGATAAAAAAATTCAACTGGATCATTTCATCTAGAAAACAGCCTGAGATCACGTTTTCAAGACCGATGTCTTTCAGAGGAAGTCCTTGCAAATGACCATGGTGTGGTCAACTCCCATCACCGCTTTCTTCACCGGAAAAGGCACACTCACCTACAATCAATCATTGATTAACTGAATAAGTTCCACGACATGAAACACGATGAAAATTTGACCTCAGATGATGAAAAGCGTTGGTCCACGTTAAAATTTACAGATAAAATCAAGAAGTCTTCAGATCAATAATATTGATTCAATCCTAATGCTTATACAAGGGAAGATACATTGCCCGCAATTCTAAGTGAAGGCATATTTTAAATAATCTTTTTATTTTTCCCCATCATTCGATTTCTAACAAATAAAATCAGCATTAAACTATATTTGGTCTTGAAGAATATTTGCTACTTTTTTACGAGGGAGAACTATTTTTTCTCCATGAATCATGAATGTTCCTTGAGCTCCAGAAAAAATGCCAATCAGGTAGCAGGAGTTTCTCAAATTTTTATAAAATACTGTGCATAGAAGCCTGATTCGCAGTGAGATGTAAAATTATCACAATTTCGGCAATTTGATTAAGAAATTTGAAAATTGTCCATCTAGTTACGCCCAAAGCAACAAAAGCTAGAAGGGATTGGTCAAGCAGTTTAGTGCCCTGAAATTTAATTTATTGTAGGTCATGATAGCCATGTCAGCGACAAAAACCAGATTATTACCAAATAAAAAACGGTTTTCAATGAAAAAAGACCAATATCTCAAGTATTTAAAAAGCCCACCTTGATCACAGAAAGAAAGGTTCACGGACGGAAGCGGCCTAACCCAGGGATGGATACACCCCTAAACTCAAGTTCTTGAACAAATTTTACGAGAAAAAATTCATTCTAAGCTCACCCTCATCGGAAAATACTGGTCCCTGTCCTTGACTCCAGTACCCAAGCATCCACGTCGGTTCAAGCCCCAAGAATACAAATCTCCAGCATTCGTCAATACCCCAAAGTGATGTAAGCCAGCCACAACTGCTACGCTTTTAACGTCAGGCCGGTACGTGTTTTTTCCGAACAAGGGATCCGGGATTTTCTCAGGAATTGGGCGCATTGTAGGCATCCCAGATCCGTCACCCAAAAACCCGTAACCCCAGGACCAAACGGAGCCTTCCGAATCCAGCATTAAACAGGCGCTTCCAGCAGATGCTACGTCCTTCACTTTCCTACCAACTTCTAGGTACGTCGGTGTGTTGAGCTGCTGATCGTCTGTTGCAACCTTCAAAAAAAAGAGCAGAGGAATAACACATTTGAGTAATTCGACGTCAAAACGAAGTCTGCAGGGCTCAACCAATTCTAGTCGTCCAAAAATTTATATTTCGTAGAGGAAAAGATAACGCTTCTTCAGTATTTCAACAATAGAATGCAGAAATGCGCAAGAATTGGTGGTGAATATATCAAAGAATTACTCGAAGCAGGATAAAGCCGCCACCAATTATCCAATAAAAATGACATTCAGAACCGAATTCTGTACAGCACCAATGATCACGCACACAGGACGAGGAATATGGAAGCAGATGAAATTTAGCTCAAAATCAAATGAAACTGATTTGCGTCTACCAGTGACAGAACAATATTTCATGGCAATGGAAAAATTAGGAGGCTTCATGCGGCTTGATCCTTTCTTACGGAGCCACAGTAATTTTTCTTGCCGTTTGTAACTCACCTTTCGTACATTTCGACTGTCGAGAGTCCGCCAAACATGGATTACAAAAAACCAAGCGGAATAATTTTCTAGAGTAAACAATGGCTTACAGGAATCATTCACGAAACACGACGCTATCAAAAAATCACAGAACAGAGATTCACGAAGTGAAATGAAACCAAACTCACACTGAACTGGGAGTACTCTGAATTGCCCCAGCCAAACATCAGTCCTTGATCATCCAATGCCAGTACACAGTCCCCAGCGCAAGAAATCTTCACGATTTTTCTTCCCTTGATCTCTCCTTCAACCAATTGAATGTCTGGCTGGTTCGCAAGGCCTGAACGTCCGGTTTGCCCATCAGCTGCCCAGCCACAACTGAGAACCTCTCCAGAGCTCTTCAAGAGGAAACTAAAATCATAATGGAGAGAAAAATGGAGAAAAGAGCAGTTAAAATAGGATTTCGGACACTCAAGAAACACTTCATTCCTGTAGTGAAGTATGGCGTAGACTTGCGAAGAATGGTTACATGCTGAAAATAGCGACATTTATCGTCATCACACCACAGAATAGCATCAAAATTGATCGATACTATCTCACATACTTTGTTACAGTACGACATTATCCGTCATGATTTCAAACGACTGTTTTACTTCAGTGGTTGCTTAAATACTTCAAGATCACAAAAATTTGACACTAGCAATTATCAGTACTGTACATAGTGTAAAATATTCCCCCACTGTTTTGTGCTCAAAAGAATTATTACAAAAAGGTAAAGCCACACAGTGCAACATATAATTTGGAAGTACATCTGAACCTCTATAAGTCAAATATTGAAGGAGAAGCACCAAAATCTGCGCTAGGGAGGTTTCAAATTATGGAAACAAGCGTTTTTGTTGGGAAGAAAGAATTTTTGTACAGGATATTGTAATTGGAGACATTCTAGGCCTTGATTTGCTCATTGAATGAGTTGATAGAATGCTGATCTTGGAGGCAAAAGTTCATTTGCAGAATTATTCTTTCGCCCCTTTCAAAACGCATAGTTAGTTTATTTTCTTTCCTCTTTCCTGTGTTAATAAAATAATGGCCAAGACCCTCAGAAAATTCGAGTTATGGAGGTTCGATGAAGGACGTCTTCAAGTTAAGGAGGAATGGAATGCATTTCTAAGGGAGTTCAGACAAAGGCTTGAAAAAATTTCTTGGAATTCTTGGCTTGAAGAGAAGTTCAGGGTATCGGAGTTCAACTGAATTCCAGCAATAGAAGAAAATTTAATAAAACGGAGGTCTTGAAATCACCTCGTATCTTGACCACAGAATACAGCTTCCACATTTTCGGAAGCCGGGACCATTTTGTGAATGTAACCAGAGTTGAAATAATCTTCATCGCTAACAATCGGTCTTCCGCATTGGCCATATCCGTTGTGCCCAAGACTGTAAACTCCTTCGGCGTCGGTAGCAATCAATGTATGCGCCCGACCTGCAGAAATCCCGAGAATCTTCGTAGTTTTTGGTTTTGAAAGTGGCAGATGGATTTTCATGGGAGACAAGATGTATTCCAGGGCACCCGAGTAACCAGTTGGGTGCTGGTGACCTGAAATAAAAATTGAAAAAATTAAACAAAAATCAGAGGAAGGGAACCCCTTTCATTGCTGAGTTATCGCACTGACCGATCTGGGAGTCGGAGTTCAAACCAGTTCCATAAACGAAGGTACCCTCTTTGTTCTTGGCCAAAAATAACGTGAAACCATATCCACAAGCAATATCCTTCACCTGCATAGGTTCATAAAAATGAACAGAACGTGACGACAAATATAAACACAGTTCAACGCAGCTTCGGCAAAACAGCGGAGAATCGAGAACATCGTATTATCTGCATGCAAAAGCTAAAATGGGACGCTCACCTTCACAGAAACTATTCCTACTAAATCTCCGTCATGTGATAGTTCTACTTCTCCATCGTTCAAACAAACGACTTGCACATAAACCATCATTTACAGTGAGAAGGTTCTGTTCTGTGCAACAAATTCAGGCCGATTCATTTCTCCATATCATGAATAATTTAAGTAGATTAGGCATTAGACAGTACAGTATTCAAGAAATGCGCGGAAGGATGGCGTGACGATACGAAAGAAAGATCGTTTTAAAATACATGTTAGCTTCGCTTGATTATTACTAATGTAAAAACGAATAATGTCGCAGCTTCAAAAAGTAAGTACCTCAAGATGAAATTTCAGACCTTACCTGATTGTGTTCACCAAAGACCAGTCTTGCTGGATGATCGACGATCTCAATAGCCTTAGCATTAGGACTCTTCCTTTCCCTTTCAAGGAACAGCGGTTCTCCAAGAGCTCCATAAACAGTGTTTCCCCACCCGTAGAGTCTTACGCTTCCTTTCGCCCCGTCCGCAACGTATTGAAATTCTGCAAGAATACTCCAGAGTTGACAAATCCTTTTTCAGCCAAACCTTGCAACATGCAATGACCTGGTAAGGTATCCTCATGAGCAGGATCAACAGGATACTTTCTTCCCTTGAAGGGATAAAATCTCACTTGACAAAATAGATTGTAGACGTGTCTCCGCCGTAGAGTGCCCAAAGTTCTAAAAACAGACATTCCTGCAGACATGAAACTTCAACTATCCAATCAACTATTCAAGTACCAAAACAAATAGCATTCAGTGAATTTAAAGCAAGAAATGTCAGCAAAAATTACTCTTCTTGGCTAAAACATTCCGGATCCAGAATTTTCCGCACAGGTCCTAAATCTCTCCCGACATACGCTCACATTTCTTCCGTAGAAGTCACAAGCAGTTCACGACACGAAAGCATGAAAGCCAGAAGTGGAATTATCACGGAATGGCGAGGAAATCGAAACCACATCACTTTGTTTCCAAGTTGCCAAGATCAAGGTGCTTAGTTAAGAGATTACACGAAATGAAACCTGTCAGAAGCACCCTATTTACGCGAATGTATGGCAGCATTGATTCTATAACGCAGAGGAAATCGCCACAAAATACACCAGGAACTTGATCGTACGAAGTATTTCTAAATGTAATCGTCTACGCCTCTACGGGAACTCAAATATTGCAACGAAGAATTGCAAATAAAGGCTTGTTTCGGGTAAGTCGCAAGTAAAATCAATAACACGAAATTATGAGATCGAATTCACTCTCAAAACATCTACTACAGGAAACGTTGCGAGATGCATCTCATTATCTCTTCTTTTGAGAATTTTGGGCTTCATTCGGATGATGCTTTCAACATATCCTCAATACTAAATGAAATATATGTTCATATATATGTTCAAATATATGATGAGATGACGAGATCCAGAAAACTTGACGAGGTGCACATTTTCGGGCCGCTCTATACTCCATCATTTCCCTTACGAATGCGATAAACAACCAGATTATTTTTCTTAAGTCACTTTAAAAAGGAAGAGGCGTATAGTACGAGGAGTTGTTCAACTGTCATGTGAGTTACCAACTCTTCACTACAGACAGATATAACCTGGTGGTTATATTTTCTTGGAAATCTTGCGTTGGAAAGAGTGGAAGAAACATCTAATTTTTGATCATCCACAAGTTTCCTCAATGAAACAGACAAGTTCCATTCAAATTCAACGAACATTTCCAGGGGACTCACAAGACTTATGTTACACTCCTCGAGGCCCTCGTACATTCGCGTAAACATGGTTTAAAAAAATAGATGCATTGCTGTTCTATCATGTTCTCAAAGATCTTCGTCGCCGATGTTATGAAAAACCGCGTTTTGGACGAACGCGTTCCGCAGCACGACTGGCTCATCTCTGGACCGCGAAGACGAAAACCTATTCTCAAACCAACGCCGCGAAAACCGCGACTCGGGCTCTAGCACTGGCTCTACACTTCCTTTCCTCTGCAGCTGCTTCCCTAACAACTCATCCACAATGCTCTGCAAGCACAAGGAAATCAACACAGCCTGCGGACTCTTGATGGTCACCCAGTCCATCTGGTCCTTGCCGACCAGGTACTCGAAGGATAAATCAGCTGCGATGGACTCGTCTTCATCACCATTGTTCCCGTTGGACGCGGTCATCGGAAGCTTTCCAGAGATTCGCCAGCACCGCATTCGCGTGACTCGAAACACAGACGTAGAATTCTTGTCCAGGGTTTCTGTGACTAGTTCTTTGTCGCCCACGCGAACGATCACACGGGTGTTGGGCTGCGGGTAATCACTCAGACAAGGGGTGTCGCTGAATCGCCAGTACCCGAAGTACTTTTGGCTACGGACCAGGTCTAAGTACTGCAAAAACGAATGGAAAAATCAAGATTGAATTCACGGCACACTGACACTCGGTACTTCACACAACGAACTTCGCCTTCTTCAGCACCCACTTTAAATAATCCATAATACAACTAATTCAACCTATATATAGATTCAAAAATATCCAACGCTAAGCACCCGAAATCGAGAAGACACACTGGGAGATCTGGGCAAACTTAGAAACGAAGAGTGGTTTCCGCTTCATCAAATACAGCATTCGAATGAAATGCTCACGAACTGAACTTTCTGAACTGACAACAGCGCAATAATTTCATGCAATATCGGTATTTCAAAATTCACAAAAGCCATAGAAGAAACTTCCTTATCCAGAGCCTTTCTCAACCAAGGTGGGTAATATAGAAAACGCATGAAATTCACGAGCACACCAGTGCAGATCCGCGAAAAAGGTATCCATGAAGAAAGTGTAATCATTGATAATCTCAGATAAGAAGTAATATCTCTCTGCCTGCAATGAATTTCCTCCACGGAGAGAAATGTTGCAGTTAAATAAAAATTACATCCAAGTTTACAAAAAAGCATGCTCCACCCAATTAAGGGATCCAAAGATGGTGTGGGAACAATAAAATACCTGGCGTTTAGATCCCCTAGCTTGCATTTGCGTCAAATGAGCGAGTACATTCGGTGGAACAGGACACCAATCATGCTCAACATCGGCAACAGCTTCACAGTACCTCAAGTTCAACCCCACCGGGTCTCGTAGCAGTTCGGCATCCAAATCCGGATCCCAGAACCTGTTATTTTGCAAAAGATAAATTCTTCAGCACGATTTGGGCCAATGAAACTTCCTGCGGACCTTTTTCGAAGAATTATCTTCAGATTATCATCCATCCGTTGCATGGTTATCCACGGAGCTTCATAGTCCTCCAATCGTCTCACAACTGAAAGGATGGATCAATTAACCGTTGCTACGAGCTATAAGTAGATGGTTGACAAACCAGAAAACGTCCCGATGTCAGGGTACTTGCGAAGAACAACCAGACCAAAGAATTTGTGCAGAGTCTGAGGCAGCTTTAAATCTTCGCAAACGCGGTGCAAAATATCTTTGGTGGATAATCCCCGCTCTTTACGTTCGAGAGTAAGGCAAGTTTTCGAGTTCATCATCGTTTCTACTTCCAGAGAATAAGCATTCCCTGGTGCTTTATCATCACCATTTTCTTCATCTTTCTCGTAAGTTTCGAGTTGCGTTTCCACCATGAATGCGCAGAACTGCTCCGAATTCCGTACTCGCTGAATCTGGCTCACTGAACAAGATTGAATAATGAGTATCCCGTTACGAGCTCGATATATGCGATGGCTCACGAACCCAGCTGCAGATATTTTTCGAGTTGACATCGTCGGGATTCCAGTTGCTGGTCAGAAAGCGGAAGAAACCGCTTCGGCGGGAAAGAAATACCAGCAATCATGCCATGTCCGAAAACTTGTTTGAGTTTCTCGTGTAGCGTGAGTAACTTTCGATAGCGACAAGAGCAATGGTAGAGTCCATTGACGTATAAATCATAGCTAATGTAGCCTTCTTTGCCAGGCTCCAACACAAGCGACGACTTCGGGATCGAGAAGTGCATCGCGGCACAACACTGCCATTTACACCATGATCGACGGAGATGGTGGCATAACCTGTGACACAAGCAGACTTACTTGAATCAATAATTGAATATAAATCACGAATTTTTTCCATAATCATTCAACACAATAATTACTGTACCAGAACGACGAGCCAAGCGAACACAAACTCGGGGCTGATAGAGTAAGGGATCCGGGCCAGGACCCTTATGAGCGACACCTATCTTCAATGGTCCAAAGGTAACTGCAACCGTTCAGATCTTCTACCCAGCTTTGCCAGGAAGCAGATCGTTATCATGATCGGGGGGAGACGCGTGCAAGAGATGATCTTTTGAGTGTCATTCGAGTCTCGACTTTTGACGAAGGAAGTTGTCTTTTTTATATCTGACGTTTTTATTGTGATTGTGTTGTGTTGTGACAAGTCTGGATATTGTTGGGAGAGAGGACTGATTAAAACTCTCCTGATATTGTGACACTGGCCGAGGACCGATTCATTAAACCTTACTGGGGGTTTGTCCGGTTCTTTCCTGATCGCGCTGGTGTCACGAAGATGACTCGCAACACAGAAAACTCCAAGGCTGCGGCACAACCTTAAGTGCCACCTGCCCCAGTTCCCGACCCACCCGCAGCACCTCCGCCTGCAGGGTCGCCCACAGAGCAGGCCTATCCAGCAAATTCTCCACTGATACGGAGCCTACCCCCGACACCCGCCTTGACAGGCAGTCATCAGTGGGACGCTATACCGTTGCCGACGCTTCAGTATCTGACGGAGGCTTACCGCCTCGGAACACCAACACGTGACGACCGCTCAGGGTACGTAACTCTCTTGGAGTCCAACAGGATCCCGCCTTTGCTAGCCCAAGGGTGGATACCCCCGCCGGGCTGGCACTTGCGGCCATTCGACCTGCAAATTGCGCCCTGGTCCACGCCAACCCCACAGCAAATCGTGGTGGCGGGACCCACACCAGTACCTCCAGCGTGTCAACCACCACTCTACCGACCTCCGGGAGAACCTCAGCGCTCGCGGACCTGCCACAACAGCGTGACGCAGAAAATTTTGAAGATTATGCAGATCAGCTCCGCAGGATGCCGGCAGTGAACAACGTGTCCACCGACATGAAAGTATGGTGCCTCATCAACAAAACCCAGCCCCTTGTCCATGAAACGGCATCCATTTTGTATGCAAGAGGCATCACCGACTTCGAAGACCTGGCGGAAGCGATAGCGATCTCACATCCGACACCTCACCTGGACAGGTTGGACCAGTTTTGTCAACTACGTCCACAGCAAGGAGAGAGCTTCATTAGCTTCGGGGGCAGGTTAGAAAACACATTTAACTCGTTTCTTTCCCCCCCCCCCCCGGACAACCGGTCTCCCTCGATGACCTACGCAACAAGATGCTGATCAACCAGCTGATTGCGGCAGTCTCCACCGGACTCCAAGACAAGCTCCGGAAAAAGTGGATCGATAATCGGGACCTGACCTGGAGGGAAGCCATCCAAGAAGCGGAGAAACATCGATTACATCACCATGCCACGTCTTGAGGGGGGACAAGCTCAAAACCGGCCCAAAGGACTTCAGGATCCTCCCGGCCCCAACGACAGTGGTGCGAAGGACACAATGCTTATGTCCGCCACTTGCCTCAAGATTGCAGGATACTCATCCGTCAACAGGGTTGCCAAGGAGCAACACCCAACAAATCCACAGAAGCGGCAGCTACTACGTCTACAGCGCCGGCGTCTCAACCTAATCAGGCAATATCTAACAATCGCACTCCTTCCGGAAATGTTTTTTATTGTTTTCATTGCCATGCGCCCGGGCACATTGGCCGGAATTGTCTGCTCGCGTTACAGGGAAACGGGCATCAGCAACAGTGAATGCGGCGCACTGTGCTGATATGGATCTTGCCGCGCCCCCCCCCAATCATTGTCCCTCTGCAGATTGGCGAAACCTTTTTTCTGGCCCTGGTGGATACCGGGGCCTCTCATGCTTTTATCGCGCAACCTTTAGTCGACTTTCTTAAACTTGTGCCCAAACCCTGTTCAATCCAGGTGCAGACTGCACTTACGTCTAGTACGGCAAAAGTAACCCAACAGGTTGCTCTTGAGTTCACCTTTAAGGGGCTCCAATATTTGATCATTTGTCTCATCCTACCTCATCTTTCAGATCCACCGATTCTCCTCGGTTGCACAGCTCTGCGGCACTTGCCTCTCGCCCTGACCATCGACGGCAATTGAGCGTTTGTGGGCTTTCAAGGCACCATCCAAAATTGAGCGCTTCCGACACTCGCAGTAGGCAACGGGATCGCATTTGTGGACGGGACTGAATCCGAGCGGGCTCAGGTACAACAGTTACTCCTCCGCCATGCCGACGTTTTTCATCAATGGTCAGGGCGTCGAGGCTTTTTTCCTGAACACACTGTCACCTTGCAGACCCCCGACGATCAGATCCCCAACACACGATCATTCAGGTAGTCCGTCGAAATGAATTCCCTCTTCTCTTCTTTGGTAGACAAGTATATTGAGGCCGGCATTATCGAGCCGGCATCCTCACCATACAACTCTCCGGCGTTTTTGACCTCCAAAAAGAATCCCGATCCCAGTGCACCTCCCCACAGGCACTGGCGGCTGGTGGAAAATTACCAGGGCATCAATAATATCCTGACCAATGATAGATATCCTATGCCGGTAATCCAGGACTTGTTGGATGCCCTCGGCCGCCGTAATGCTTACTTTTGTAGCTTGGATCTTCATTCTGCTTTTCATCATTTACCCCTTGCTTTCAAGGATCAACCAAAAACTGCTTTCTGGACTCCCCGCGGGCAAATGCAGTACCGCGTGATGCCTTTTGGACTCAAAAACGGCCCTGCCGCTTTTCAGCGGGCTGTGAATCATATTCTTAGACAGCACTTATTTTCCAGATGCCTGGTCTACATGGACGACATAATCGTCTTTGGAGAATCTTTTCAGCAAGTGTGTACTAACCTTGATCTTGTCCTTACCAATTTAGAGCGTGCTGGAGCAGCCGTGGACCTTACAAAATCTACCTTTTTAGCACAGAAAACTATTTTTCTAGGACATGAGATTGACCAGACTGGAACAAGGCCACTGGAAAAGGACCTGGACGCCGTCCGTCGCTTCCCCATGCCAGAAACTACTCGCCAAATGCAACGCTTTTTAGGTATGGCGACATATTTAAGTGCACATTTGCCCACAAACTTTGCAGCATCCGAGAAGACTCTGCGGACGATCATCCCTACTAAACCCGCTACTCGGCTCCTCTGGACGCCCGAAGCTGACGAAGCTTTTGAGCACCTTAAAGAGATCCTAGCGGACTCCGCTCGCCTGGAACAAATGGACCTGTCACGACCCACCGAGGTTCACTGTGATGCATTGGCCACATCCCTGGGAGCCATATTGGTCCAAATCGACAAGGAGGGCAAACCCAGGGTCATGGAATACGCAAGTCAGACCATTAATGATACAGAAAGTTGATATTCCAACTCCGAACGAGAGCTCTTATAGCAATTGTGTGGGCAGTTACAAAAAAGTTTTGCCATTACCTTGAGATGCGTGATTTTACTGTCTATACTGACCACAAAGCTTTACTCGGAGAACTTAAAACTACGCGTCTTATTTATTTGCAGACTAAACTCGCTCCATTTAGAGCCAAGATTCTCTACAAACCCGGCCATTTCCTCAAGGGCCCCGGATGCTCTTAGTCGGGTCGTCATCAATGCAGCAGAGGTCCGCGAGATCCCCGACGAACAAGAACGCCTAAAGATTATTGACGCCTACCACTTGGAGCAGGGACACGCCGGTTGGAAGAAAATATATCAGATGCTCAAAGCCCAATATAAATGGAAATCTCTGCTACAGGACGTGTGGAAACGAATTCAGTGCTGTCAAGTATGTTTCAGGTATAATGCACCCACAACTAAAGTCGGAGTGCACCTAGATCCAATCATATCTTTGCACGCTCGACAGCGCTTGACCAAGGATTTTTATGGTCCTCTGCCCACGTCCTCTCAGGGCAACAAATATGCTATCATAGCAGTGGATCATTATAGCAAATACATGCTAGCCAAACCAATTTTAAACGCGGACGCTACTACGGTTATACCTTTCCTTGCAGAAGTCTTTCGTCAATTTGGTTTATTTGAGGTGGTCCATACGGACCGCAATTCGGTGTTCTGTTCTCAAGCTTTCAGATGGTTTCTCCGCAACGCAGGCGTTCATCAGCACGTGTCCCAAGCCTCCCACCCCGAAGGAAACGGATGCTGCAAACAAGCCATCCGCACCCTGGGGCAGATACAACGCAAGGCCGTTGACGGAGAGAGCGCATCGTGGGAAACGCACCTGCCTAAATCTGTTTTAGCCTATAACAGTACTATTCATTCTTCTACAGGAGTCTCTCCCGTCGAAGCTTTTTTTTAGAAGCCCCTGCAGCTGGAAGCGGATAAGACGTTCAGCGTCGCACCACCCGACATCAGCCCGCAGCTCACGCAAATCCCAGAAGTAAACACTAAAGCCCGGGAGGATTTCTGCAACACCGCAAATCGCAAGCTTTGGCCAAAATTCCGTCCAGGCGACCTAGTCGCAATCCGTCCAAGGCTCCCAACAGTCAAGCAACACGCCGCCAATCGCCGCTTTAGGATCCAACAACTTGGACCGTTCATTGTGATCCGCGACCTGGGCCACGGCAAATACCACGTCAGGGCAGGTCCAGCCATTTGCCGAGCCAACGCCTGGGAGCTCGTTCCGGCCCGAGGTCTACCTCGGGAGCCCAATCCTGTTTGGGAGAAAATCCTCTCTACAGTATTTTCCCCCCCAAATACCGATCTGTATCTAACCACGGATCTTCTTTTTTCTAATCCTGAAGTGGGTTTCTCCCCGCAATCCAATGTCTTCAGAGACCATGATTATTTGTTAGCTAACCCTTCCATTCCGGCCAACCGGCCTGACCATACATATTCCCGTACATAGAAAAGTGCAGTCTTCTCCTTTCTCCTCTTTTCTCCACAAAGACCCACTTTTCTCCGGGGGGGGGGAGAGTA